TGACGTCAACGGATTGAATTACAGAGTGAAGCTTGAAGAGTCACTCCACCATGTTCATGAGAGCTCACCTTATCTGAAACCAAAAAACAAGAGTGAGATTTTCATTCTTACCTCTCTTTTTTGATGGATTTATATCTTTGGGTGGGTATTTGTTTCTGTTAGGTTTGATTGAATCGAATCACATGCAATTTGGTAATATTTCGTTCAATCCATATTTATATGGGGTTCGAATAAAAAAAATCGAATAAATCTTGTTCAATATTTTTTTATAAATGTCATTGATATGAAACACCTTTTTATGGATAATACAAAATTGCATTAATAACTTTAACTGCAATTTCTTTAAATTTAACTTATAATGAATGGTATCAAAGCTTAACCCAACATGAACAAGGACAGAACAAGACTCAACCATCCCAAAAATTTGGAGTAATGTAACACATCATTTATCTATTTAATTATAACTATATGCATGTAGTATATATGTGGGCCACTGAATAAGGATTTCAGATTAGTATTTAAAAACGATAGGCAGAAACTAATAAATTTATGCATACTAGAGATTAGTTTAATGTTGGCAGCGGGGTTTTCAGTATTTTTTTTCCAACTAAATCACAAATCTCTCCCTTTCTCTATATCAAAACTTTTAAAACTTATCAGTTCATTTATGGTCACCATTATATAGCCATTACAAATCTTGCAGGTGTTAGAGCATACCGGGAGCAATCTAACACAGATAAATGGAGATCGGATAGGAAGGAAAGCAATGCCATTGAAAGAGCAAAGTCTTTCCGGTCAAAGAATCCATTTTACATTTCTGTTATGCACCGGTCTTATGTTTCCTATCCATATACATTGGTGAGTGCTTACTGCTTACATTCTTCCATACAGATGTCTTGCAAGATCTTGCTAATTTAGAGCCCATTTGGTAACTAATTTGAGCGCTGAATTTAGTTAAATTATGGCTGAAGTCATTGCATTTGCTTTTTTAGGAAAATTAAATTTAAAATATATTTTACTAATAAAATTAAGATAAAATTATATGATCATCATCATTATTATCCTAGTGCCGCAAGCGCTCCCACCTACGGTGGGGTAAGGGAAGGTGGGATTTAAGTAGTCTTACCCCTACACTAAAGCAAAGAGAGACTGATTTCAGATGACTCATAGTGAATATCGCTTCAAAAATTGCGTGGGCTGACTGCCGCTTCATAACACAGAAGAGCAAACAATTTACTGAACCATTTTGCTTTATTCCATCATATTCTCAGGCCAACAAATAGTGAGTCTTTGGCTCCATTGCAAATGATGAAAAATAGATAAAATTATATGACAGTAGCAAAAATGATCTTCTAGTAACTTCACTCAAATCAGTGAAAAAAGTAACTCGAAATTTACTTATTCTGATTGTTACGCAATTCAAAAGTTGATCAATAAAGTCAATAAGTTAAAAATAAGGAATTACCAAACGGACTCTTACACTAATGCTTTGTTGTTTTTCAGAGCATTCCCTTGTCATTTGTTAAGGACCTCTTCACTTCAAGGTATAATGATTTATTGCTAATTTCGAGTGGGAGATCATGGTCCGCCAAATGCACCGTAGGTACATCACCTAATGTCAAGATGAGTGGATGGAAGGACTTCGTGTTAGACAACAAGCTGAAAATGGGTGATGTTTGCATCCTAGAGGTTTTGAAAGGTGGAAGCCCATTGATCTTCAACGTCATAATATTTCGGGCAGATTGATGATGATGATGCACAGTCTGCTAATTTAGAAAATATTGGCGGACTGGACTCTTCAGCAAACCGGGCATATAACCTTCTGTTTTCTAGCTGCCGGCAGAAAAAAATCATATGTGGAGTACATTTTTTGGTGTTTTATTCCACTTTTAGTCATAGGAGCTTTATGTCAATTCCCATTTAGTTCGCGTCTTTTATTTTGTCCACGTTTGATATTTGGCTAATGTTTTTTGACAATTTTAATCATTACGTTTGACACTTCTCCAGTGTCTTTAATCATCAGAAATATCAACGGAAGGATCATATATGAGGAAAAAACAATATTCATGCATCATAAGTGTTCAAAGACGTAGATTAATGATGTGTAGATTAATTATGTGATATGATACTCATAGGATCAAGAGTGAGATTTATTCTATTCAGGCACCCCTATCTACAAAGAATAAAGAGATGAGATCTTTTATGTATATATGAGGAAACTTGTCCTCCTATCTAAAAAGAGATGAGATCTTTTATATCACATGTTTTGTCCCATAATATCTTTTCTTGAAGATCGATGTATGTTCTTACCAATACATGCATAGTGCGGATTGTCGGGAATCGTCGTCTTGTCAAACATGTTTGAGGGACAACATTTCGGGAACCGCCGAAGTAACCCTTCGGAGGATTCAACACGCAATCGGATGGTAGTGGCTCTCGCACCACACCATGTTGTCTGACGAACATCTGAGCGAGAGAAACATCCCCTCGCGTGTTCTCATTTCGGATGATCTTCAGCAAAGAGCAGTCTAAGAAAGAATACCCTTTCGGTACCCCGGCAGGAACAGGGCAACGATACCTTTGTTTTTTCTTCGCCGGCGGTGCGACGGAGATAGAAGAAGGACTCTTCCGCTGTCCCGGGGTGGAAGTACTAGGCTGATCAGCGGTGTCGGCCTCCTGCAAGAACTCTGACTCATAGACGATTAAAGCTCGCTCCTCGTCATCAAAGGTAGAGCTTACCTCCTCATCGGAATCTGAAGTATCTGCATTCCTTGCACCAGAATCTTTACCTTGGCGCCTCGGTACTTTCGGGCTCAGCTCAACATCGAAGCTATCCAAGCTCGATGAGAGTCCCTCACTCTCGGAGGCCAATTCAAGGGATCTAGAAACAGGGATGGATTTAGGGGGGGGGGGGGGGCGACCGCCCCCCTTGGACATTCAATTTTTTTAACCATATATGTAATATTTTCATAAAACTTTCATAATTTAATTAGATTCGCCCCCCTTAGCTTTTAATTTTCATAATTAATATATATAGTCTTACATAATGTAATACTTAATTGGAGATTTAAAAGAAGAAACATCTAAAATAATTTACATAACTTAAACAAATAAACAATAGAGTAACTCGTTATTTAAGATTTAGGATACTTATTATATAAGAATTCCTAGTTTTGTAATGTTTAATTATCTTTATTAGATAACAAGTACTGGATTTCGTAAAACATATATCAAACAATATTAAATACCAGACACACTAATTACACAATTTTTAGATCACGTGAAATGAATCCAAAATATAAATATTTATAGACATTAGATTACATAATTCATTTACTTCTTGCTTTCTAAAAATATTTTATTGCATAAATAATAAACTCTAAATTATTATAGAATTAATAAAAATATTAAAATATAATATGCACCATATATATGTGTGTGTGTGTGTGTGGTGCATATTATTCTAAAAATAACAATCTCATACATACCAGTATACTATTATTGTAATATTAAGAAAACTTCTCATGAGTCATGACTCACGAAGACCCTCCTTGGTGGACAAAAATTACAATTCAATAACGGATTCATGAGGTTAAACAATGTAGAAGTTATTAAAAATGTATTGGTTGATGTCTTTGTCATCGTCTAAACTTAGAATGTAATAGATTTAAATGTCGTTCGGGATGTGCATGCATTAATGTCATTTTTTGAATAAAAATAGCCGCATAGTCCTACAGTAGCGAAAAAAATTCGCCCCGCTATACTAGGGAAAAAATTTTCACCCCGCTACACTAACAAAAAAAAAAATCACCCCCTACACTAACGAAAAATTTCGCCCCCCTTGACTCAGAATCCTGGATCCGTCCCTGTCTAGAAATGTTTTGGGAATCCATCGATGACATCGCCGAACAACTTCTACAACCGCACCACTTCAAATCAAACTAATTAAGCTTTCCTAGAAACACTCGATCTAAGTTCTATGAAGCTAAGTACAGAAGAAAATTGAAGAACGGGTGAAGAACTGACCTTGAAGGTTTGATGATAGTGAAAAACAGGTAAGGGAGGGTTTCTCTCTCTAGAAATGGGCAACACTTCGTTCGTTCCAAGAAAAATAACGCGAAAAAGTGAGGCCTAAGGCAGGGTATTTATAGGCAAAACCCCCAACGATCGGGATACGTGTCCATTCATGAAGGATATGTTTAGTCACTTTGAAGTTCACTAGCAGCCTACTAGTAACCATTCACTAGCAGCCTGCTCCTGGTGACCGTTCAATGAGTGAAATTTGAGAATCAGTTTCTCATTCACTCGTTAGCCATTTTGAATGTATCATATATCGAATCGTAGACCTTACCACGGTGAATCCGAAACAACTTTCACCTGACCCAAATTTAAAGTGGTACCCACTCAAAATTCTGCCTGAAATTGAACACTTGATGCAATTTTAGCACTTTTTCAACATCTTATTGTGTATTTTATCATCTTATTGTGGCTAATAATGTGGGTCACATATGGACTAAGGGTGTAATAATTTTTTTTTGAATATGCTGGTTTTTATTTCTACACAATAAATAATTATAGTGGATAAAATATTGGAGCCCGTTTGGTAGCACCAAAATCGACTGTTTTGGCTGATTCTGCTGAAATTGATGAAATTCTAGCTGAAGTGGCTGCATTGGCTGATTCTGCTGATTTAAGAAAAAAAAATTAAAATATATTTTATTAATAAAATAAAGAAAAAATTATATGTAAAAATAGTTAAAATGGTCTACTACAGTAACTTCAGCCAATGCAGCCAGAAAAGTAACTCAAACCTTACTTTTTCTGCTTATTACAAAATTCAGCACGCGAAAACAAAAGTTACATGTTTGGTAAAAAAGTTGGCTGATAAATCTAATAAGCCGAAAAACAGTGCTCTCAAACGACCTCTCATTCTTATAATCTTTTTTCAAGGATGGGGTATGGAAAGTCCGTGATAGTACTCGTACTTCTTGTCTAGTTATGAGTTCATTACATTTTACTTTCGTTTAATATTGATTTCTTATTTTTTTACAGTGCTTTTGAGCAATTATGGAGACAAAGCTCTTACGGCAAAGCCAAGGCGGCGAGGGGAATTCTCGTTCGAAGTCTTCATCAGGAAACTGGGTACGGTTTGTCAAGATTATATTTCCTTCAGAAGACTCCACCCTGGTAAGCCTCGACCTCCAATCTCCAGAAAAATTCCTAATCTACACGAATATGTTAAGTTTTAAGTTTTGGTTTTCAAATCCCGACCCCCTAAAAGTACATTTCTGGCTCCGTCATGCTCTGAACTATCAGATTTACATGTGATTTCTATATTAATCTGGCAATAATGCTCTTTTATCAAAAATCATGATTGGGAAATTCTTAAATAGGGGTAAAAACATAGTTATTTTGTGAAATGTGTGAAGTAGAACTATATATTTTTCTCCTAAATAAGAGTTGTAGATTGGGATTAGGAGTAGAATGTTACTCCTGTCAAGATTGTTCCAAAATAAGTTCACATTTCCTTTTTATTAGTTAGAACAGAACAAATAGACTATTCATGAGGATTTGCTGAACTATTACACGTAAATGAAAGGCTAGGTCTTACTCCACAATCACTAATTAGTAGTGAAATGGTTCTTAGTTTTAGTTCAAGTAGGACAAGCTTAGGTTAGTCCAGTCTTATTCGTTGTCCCCGCCCCTCCATTTTCTCCTTAAGGCGGAAGGAGTGAGATAGATGTTCTTCCCAGCAACAATTCCAGCGTATTACAGAGCTCCTGCTAAATGAGTTTGCAGATTGTTGTATCTTTGACACACTTTTTCTCGCCACCGCCCCTCCATTTTCTCCTGCTGTATTGGCTAAATGAAGAAAATGATTGTGTGTGAGTTACTATAGTCTATAAAGTGTGTTAGAAAATCATTTATTGCGCATCAAATTGTAATCACCTTTATATCCAAGTATCCAACCACTGTCAACAACAAAAAAATGATTAGGAGGGTCTCCCTTTTTTAATATGTGTTCTACAGTATTTCACTTGAGAATTAATTACATGTTTATCACTAAAATAATGATTATTTACAAAAATGTGATTAGTGACTAGAGTAGTAATGGAATCATAGTACTCTAAGAAAAAATTAATAGAATCATAGTAACTCATGTTCAATTTTAAAACTTAAGTTATCATAACATTACATTGTAGTAACTATTAGTCATATTTGTGTAAATAAATTTTATTTTAGTAATAGTTTTGCAAAAAACCTTCACTTTATTAGACTCAAATCTCAACCATAGCTTTTATTTTTTTAACCACATTATCAATAATTGTGTCAAACCAAAATAGGACACATAAAATGGGACTGAGGTAGTATTAAAAATTAAGCAATGGACATAAATTAGATTTTTTTGAAATTTCCAAAAATGACACTAAAAAAACTAAGAAAACCACTATAGTACTATACACATTACTAAGGATGTTTTTACTTGGACTGTAATTTGTCCCAGACCAGTCCAGTCCAGACCAGACTAGATCAGACCAGACCAGACTTGGATAGTTATAAAAATACAAAGAAACCAGACCTTACCAGACCAGTTCAGAACAGACCAGACCAGCAAATTACAGTCCATGTAAAAACATCCTAAACCTAGCTGACCAATGTCAAATTGACCCTGTTTTTTTTTTTTTTACTCCGGGGGGGTCTGGGGGCTGGGGGGAGCCTGGAGTTTCACACTCCATTGAGTTTCACACCCTTGTGTGCCTGTCTGCAATGACTAATGCCACAGTGGCCACCCAGGCAGTTAGCACCACCACACAGTTACAATTACCAATCCGAGTGACCACCGCCAAGCCAGTCCACCGCCGCGTCTTTCCGGTAACCGCTGCTACTGCCTCGTCCAGTGACTGTTACTGCCACCCCCTACCCCTTCCTAGCCACCTCTCCGGCCAGCCTTCCAAGCCCCAGGCCACCGCTACTTCCCATCCCATTTCAACGCCGTCACTGCTTTACCCTCACATCCACCCTCCAGCAACCACACGCTACTGTCCCACCCTGCAACCGCTGCATCACAATCCTCAATCCAGCCGGCATAGAAACAGACCATCCGCCTCACCGTAAATCAGAAACCAGCACCAACACACAAACCCTAGCCAATATAGACCATCGCAGAGGAAATCGAATCGAAGAAGAGGGATTGAAATAGCAGAACAGGGAATGAAATCGCTAAGCTTCGTCGGTCGCCAATGGATTAGGCGAAAGGTATCGAACTAACTGATAGTCAAATCATACCATATTCAAGCTAGACAAGGTCTAAAGTTTTTGACGAAAGTAGTTTCTTTCTTTTATATTTAAATAGTGGAATTAACTTGATATATTTAAATTCTACTCGACCAGATTATACTAGGTTACAAAAGTTTTTCCTGTGTGGAAATTGCGTTTAAATAAATGTTCTTGTATGGGGACAATCTTGAGTTTGAGTTCTTTGCAGAAAATTCCGGAAGAGTATGTGAGAAAATGTGGAAAGAAAATGCCGAAGGTGGGATCTTTTGAGGTTCCAACAGGGGAAGTTTGGGAAATCGAGCTGGTTCATTCCCAAGGTCAAGTTTGTCTAGCCAAGGGATGGAAAGAGTTCACTCGGAAATACTCAATAAGAGAGGGCCACTTTCTGGTATTCAGATATGATGGAGAATCCCATTTTCATGTCATCATATTCGACAAGAGTGCTACTGAAATAGAATATCCACAATTCAAAACTCATGATGATGATGGTGACGCTGCCAGATTCAAAGCCGCCTGCAATTCCGAGTCTGACTCTGATGATGATGAGATTTTCCAGGAAGAAATGGAAACAGAATGCGGACTAAACAAGAGAAAGAGGAAAGAAGGGTTTGGATCCGAAGTTGGTGACGTCAACAGATTGAATTACAGTGTGAATGTGGAAGAGTCACTCCACCATGTACATGAGAGCTCACCTTCTCTGAATCCTAAAAACCTGAGTGAGATTTTCATTCTTACCTCTCTTTTTTGATGGATTTATATTTTGGGGTGGGTGTTCTGGCTCGTTTTGATCAAACCGAATCAAATCACATGCAATTTGGTAACATTTCTTTCAATCCATATTATAACGGCTCACATCCAATTTAAAAACAAAAAGCTGACCCCTTCTTTTACCCAACCTGGTTCACCAGAATTAAAACATACTACGTATTTGTCAATAAATTTGAATCTTTGATGGTGGCATTGTCATCGTTGGCCAGATTTTATCCAAAATAATATAATTATATCGGGTTAGAATTAATAAAATCGATTAAATCCCGTTCAATATTTAAAAAAAATAAATTACACTTGATATATTTTACCCACTAAATGTCGAGTTTGAATAAAAATCGTCATTAATATGAAATTACATTTTTTTATGGATAATACGAAATTGCATTAATAACTTTAGCTGCAATTTCTTTAAAATTAATTATAATGATCGGTATCAAAGCTCAATCAAACATATTTAAAAACAAGTCAATATGAACAAGGACAGAACAAGACTCAACCATTCTAAAAATTTGGAGTAATTTATCACATCATTTATCTATTTAAATGTAGCAATATACACGTAGTAATATATACTTGGGCCACTGAATAGGATTTTAGATTAGGATTAAAAGATGGTAGGAATTTTCCATCACTTCCATTGGAGCCAAAAACTCACTATTTTTTTGGTTTGGGAATATGATGTAATAACGCAAAATGACTCACCAAACTGTCCGTGCTTTTTGTTATGAAGCAGCAGTTAGTCCATTCAATTTTCAACACAATTTTAATCGTGGGTTATCCAGAAAACAGTCTCTATGTGCTTTAATACAGAGGTAAGACTGCTTACATCTGACCCCCTTACCCTATCGTAGGTGGGAGTCTGCGACACTAGGGTTATGTTGTTGTATTTAAAGATGATAGGCAGTTGCACATCATGTCTTGTAACTAATAACTTTGTCCCTATTAAAGATTTTGTCACCTGAGCCACGAAAAGTTTAATGTAGGCAACGGGTTTTCCGATATACTATGTATTTTTTCCGACAGTTTCCAGTGGAAGTTATTAATTACAAGACGTGATCTGAAACTATGTAAAGTTAGGGGTATAATTCAACTGGAAGTTACACGACTAAATCAGCAAATTTCCCCCCTTCTTATGGCATAACACCTATAAAATGTGTTCATCAGTTTATAATACTGAGTAACATGATTAATATTGTTAATATGCTTCATATGAATCGTACTAGTTTTCATTTAAAAATCTTGCAGGTGTTGAAGCATACAAGAAGTATAAATGGAGATCGGTTAGGAAGGTAACCAATGCCATTGAAAGAGCAAAATCTTTTCGGTCAAAGAATCCATTTTACATTTCCGTCATGTACCGGTCTTATATTTCCTCCCCATATACATTAGTAAGTGCCTTTTTCCATACGGATGTCTTGCAAGATCTTTAGTGCCCATTTGGTAACTAAATAAGGGATTGAATTTGCTGGATTGGATGAAATTATGGCAGAAGTGACTGAATCTGCTACATTATAGAAAAATTATAGGTAGTATTTAAAATATAATTTACTAAAAAATAAAGCCAAAAATGTAACTCGAACCTTACTCATTTTGATTATTACACAATATAACACGCGAAATAAAAAATTACGTGTTGGTAATTGGTAAAAAAGTTGACTGATAAAGTTAATAAGTTAAAAATAAGGAATTACCAAATGGGCTGATCTACTAACGCTTGTTGTTTTTTCAGAGCATTCCCTTGCAATTTGTTAAGAACCTCTTTACTTCAAAGCATAATGATTTGCATACTGATATATTGCTAATTTCGAGTGGGAGATCATGGTCCGCCAAATGCACCCTAGGTAGGTCAGCTTGTGTCAAGATCAATGGATGGAGGGACTTCGTGTTAGACAACAACCTGAAAATTGGTGATGTTTGCATCTTAGAGGGTTTGAAAGGCGGAAGCCCATTGATCTTCAACGTCATAATATTTCGGGCAGATTAATGATGCACAGTCCGGTAATTAAAAAAATATTGGCCTGACTCTTCAGCAAACCGGGCATACGAGTCATATGCAGAGTTCAACATTTTTTTGATGTTTTATTCCACTTTTAGTCCTAGAAGTTTTGTGTCAATTCAACATTTAATTCACGTTTTGTATTTTGTCCACGTTTGGTATTTGACTAATCGTTGTTTGACCATTTTGATCCTTCCGTTCAATTCTCCGACACTTCTCCATTGATTTTAATCATCAGAAATATGAACGGAAGGATCATATATGGGAAAAAAATATTCATGTATCACAAGTGTTCAAAATCAAAGACGTAAACTAATTGTGAAATTGATATGATACTCATAAGATCAAGAGTGAAATTTATTCTTTTTAGGCCACCCCTAACTACGAAGAATAAAGAGATGAGATCTTTTATATCACATCTTTTGTCCCATAATATCTTTTCTTGAAGATTGACATATGTTCTTACCAATACATATATGTATAGTGCTTTTAATTGAGAGAAATGACTTGGTTAGTCTAGATTGAGAGAAATAGGCAAACCTGTTTGAGGGCCTTCCTAATTGAATTTTTGTTTGAGGACCTTCCTAATTGAATTTTTGTTTGAGGACCTTCCAGTTGAATTTTTGTTTGAGGACCTTCCTAATTGAATTTTTTGATAACATTTTGTGAGCATATTCTTGTTGAAGTATAAAACATTCACACAAAGTTTGAGCTTAAAATTCAATTGGGAAGTCTATTGAATAAATTATGGAAAAACATGTTTATATATACGGTTGACTAAATCTTTACTCTTTAATTGAGGGCCAGCCAAGTATTTTTTGATTTTTGTCCATGTAACTTCTTTCTTAGACCCTATGGATACTTTTACTTCACGCGTTACTAAATGGTGCTTATTAAGATCCGTGTTAATAAGCGACACATAAAATAAGTAGTGTTGTAATATCATGTTTACTTCAAAGGGTTTAAAACACCATTTAACATTAAAATGTCTAAAATAATCATGTACATATATAGACACACAAACATTCATGAGCTCAAGTATATAATATAATATGTGGGGTCACCTCGTTCGTGTGTCCATACCTTTAATCCCTACCCCGCCCTATACCCTGTTACCCCCCACCCCTAATTCTACACCCTTGACCCCTACCCATACCCTTACCCTCTACCCTACTCCCTTACAACCCTTCATACCCACCCATACCCTTAACACCTACCCTACTCGTTGGGGGTCAGGGTGGGGTCGAGGTGAGGGCATGTAGTATAGGGTACGAGGTCGGGAAGGTACGGGCAGGGTGGGAGGGTGGGGGTCGGGGTAAGATGGCGGTAGGGTGGGGGAGGATGGCGGTAGTAGGGTGAGGTCGGGATCGGGATGGGGCCAAGGTAGGGGCAAGTGATAGGGGGTGGGGTCGTGGTTAGGGGTAAGGTACAAGGGTGGGGGGTAGGTGGGTAGGGGGTGGGTGTAGGATAATGGTAGGGTGGGACTGGGGCAAGTGCTAGGGGTAGGGTAGGGCAGGGGTAAGGTACGAGGGTGGGGTAAGGTAGGGTGCGTCGGGGTGGGGTCAAGGTGGTAGGGGTGGGGGTAGGATGGCGATAGGGGTCAGGATTGGGGTGGGGTAGTATCGTTGTAGGGAAAAGGGGTACACGGGGTGTGGGGGTAGTCGGGGATAGGGTAGGGTAGGGGTAAGGAGTAAGGTACAGGATAGTGACTATGGTGGGGTCGGGGGTCTGGGTCGGGTGGGGTCGGGGTAGTAGGGGTAGGGTGGGTAGAGGGTAACAATAGGGTAAGGGCAAGGGGTAACAGTAAGGGTAAATTCGGAAACTGAAAAAGCTTAAAGTGCCGCTTAATTAATACATGAGGGTGGTATGCTTAGTAAGTGGCACTTAAACACCTCTTTCAGTAAATAAGCGGCTTTTTAAGCAGCATGCGTGTTTACTTCACATGTCTTACTAACGTAACTGTGACTTTAACAGTGAACTAAACACTTCATGTGTCTCTGTGCTTAACAATTAATTTATTTGTATTGCGTTGACCAGATTTTGTTTATTTGTATTTTAATTTGTTTTATTTTGATATTTTTATCATAAATAACACAATGATTTTGTTATTAGTAAAATAATTCTTAATAATTGGGTTATACGAAGAGAGTAGAACAAGAAGAGGTAGGGGTGGGCAAAAATTCCATTCCCGGTGTCCTGAACCGAAAAATCCTAATACCGTTCTGAAACTATCCTGATCCATTTAGGACGCAATGTTTTCATCACGAATTGGTCCCGCACCGGTATTATTCAGGACGGGACCGGGATAGCTATAAAATATCATGTCCCGTCCCGGTGTCCCGTTTGAAATTAATATGTTATTTTAAATTTTTAATGCTATGTAATAATCTAACACAATTAAAACTTTCTAGTCCTTAGTCTCCCTAGTGTAATTTTATCTTATTTCATGTCTCTCTTAGTCTCATTTCTTTTGTTTCTTTTGATTAAAATTTCTTTAGTTCTCATTCCAATACTGGCTCATAATATATTATTACGTGCGAAATACTATTTATGATGAATAACTACTACTCCATATTATTTTAAAAAAAAACTACTACTCCATATTATATTGTTGTTATAGATTTAATATTTTCCAAAATAACTGCTAGAAAATATATATAGTGTCTTTATAGATATGATATTTAATTTAATATGGTATTGAAAAATTACAAGTGTATTACAAAGTATAAAAATATTATGCGCTAATATTCTGCTAGAGGAAACACAAGATTAGGGGGACCAAAAAAGTTTAAAGGATAAAAATTAAAAATAGTTTATTAAAAGTTTTACTTAGGGAAGCTAAATTTGCAAAAATAGTTACGTCTTTATTTTGATGTTATGCTTACTTTTATACTACGTATCACATTTCACAAATGTATATTTTATGGGACATCTCGAACCGTCCTGGTTTTTGTCGGGTTGTCCCGATCCCGTTTTAAATGGGTCAACATTGGGATAAAGACTTATCCCGTACCGTACCGGGCCGTTGTTATAAAACCGGGACGGGATCGGGATAAGCCAAATCCCGGACCGTGCCCACCCCTAAGAAGAGGTCATTCACTGCTCTTATTTTGGAATCATTTTACTCCCATTTTATTTTATGACTTAATATTTGTATTTGAAATTGAAATAAGAAATTATCCTAAGCACAAGTAAACGGGTTTTGATAATTCAAAATATGACTGCTATGCCTTTCTTTCTGAAATATGTGTCGATATATTTCATCACTTTCTTGATTGAAAAATACTCTAATTAATGATAACAAATATTGTCATGTTAATGACTAGTAATGCAACTATCTTGTCGATAATTACTTCAAAATGAAAGCAATATTGCCATGTTACACTCATTTCGGGAAGAAAAAAATTGTAATGTTACTTTAGAATTTCAAAATTTGTTTACTCGTATTTCGAGAACTTCCCAATTCCAATAACATAATTAAATACCAGAGTAACATAATTGCGTCATTTGCAAGATGACAGCAAGCAACCCTAACGCCCTAACCCAGAGAGTCCCGAACAATGAACGATGGAGTACAAAACTAGGAGTACATATAAGTCGCTCAACCTGATCACGTGTAAGCTCTTGGCAAATAAAACTGATGGAAAATTACTATCAGTACCCCATACCCCATATTGGGTTATTCTAGGGTTGTAAACGAATCAAATAATTTTTGCTCGATTCGCAATTCGAATTCGTATAACATTATTCGAATTCGAAAAATTCAAATACAAATACAAATAAGAATACTAAGGGGGTGTATTGTATTAGGAATTAGTGGCAAAAATTTAAAAGTCCATAGATTTTAAAAGTTTAGGTGTATTCAATGTGGACTTTTAAGAGTCCACAAAAGTCTAGGTGTATTCAATGCGGACTTTTAAAAGTCTATAAAAGTCTAGGCGTATTCAAATTTCCGTTCATTCTCATTGACTTCTAAAATCATGGATTCCCGTAGACTTTTAATTCATTTTTAGTGCAAAAATTCTCTGCAATTGTCTCTTCTCCTAACCAAAGATTTCCGTGGACTTTTCTTATATCGGGTCTTCATCCCGTCCCTCCTCATTCCTCTCCTCCCTACTAGGGATGGACCGGACCCGGCCGGGCTTGGAATTTTTTGGGTAAGGCCCGGGACCGGCCTAGGAGTCTACTGGTATCGGGCGGGGCTGGTTCATTTTTTTGGGTTTTCTTATATATTACAACCATCACCCCCCAAACCCCTCCAAAACACCCAGCCCAACCTACCTACCATAGGCCCAAACCCAAAAAAAAACAAAAAAAAAAACAAATAAGGCCCGGACCGTGCCCGAACCGGCCGGGCTGGTCCTCAAATATGCAGTCCTGGAACCGCCCCAATTAACCCCCCCCCCCCCCCCCCCCGTCGGTCCTAGGCCCGGTACCGGTACTGATCCACCGGGTCGGGCTTAATTTATTTTTGTAAAATTTTGTGTTGCTATATGAATTACATTTATTTATTTATTTATTTATTTATTTATTTATTTATTTATTTATTTATTTATTTATTTATTTATTTATTTATTTATTTATTTATTTACTTATATATTTCTTATCGTACTCCGTATTATATAGAGGAAATCACTTACGGTAGGACTAAAACATAGCATCATTCGTAAAGTATGATTAAATGTTTGATTTTTCTTAAATAGGAATAAATATTACATATTCACCCCTAATTTAATTAATTAATTAATATAATTAATTGTCCTAGCTCCCTTTCACAACCAAAGCCATTTTGTTGGTGACGCGTCAGTCCGATGACGACAGCGGGGAACTCCGGTGATGGAGGCGGACAGGTCACATTCATATCGGTAGCGACAATCTAGGTGAAAATTTTGACGACCAGCAGTAGCGGTCCGCATTTAAAAGTCTATGGACTTTTTGAAAGTCAATAAACTTATCCATGAATTTAAAAGTCCATAGAATTCATTCATAAAAAAGTCTATGGATTTAAAAGTCCATTGACTTTTTTAAAAGTCCATGGATTAAAAAAAGTCCACAACAATCTATATTGAATACACCCCCCTAAATTTGATTCGAATTGTTATCAAATACAAATAAGAATATCAGTGTATTCGATTCGAATATTAATCAAATATATTCGATTAATGATGGTCATATTATTATAATAATATTAATAATAATAGTAATAACACTATAATAACTTTTAAAAGATAGCTATACACTCAAAGGATAGTCCATATATACATTTATGTATACAAAATTTAAGCGCATTTGTAATAAATCAGAAGTATCAGACGGAGTAAGGATTGTAACTAAGGCAAATAATTTTATTTTCATTCGTGATTTGGATTCAAAAAATATGATTTAAATTTGAAAATATAGAATATAAATACGAATACAAATCAGATTTTTGGTTCAAGTACGAATACAAATAATTATGTATTCGATTCAACGAATAAATTAGAGGCGTTTGACTACGATAGACGAAGTATACAATTATCAACTTGTTTCACACATTATAAGTATAATTTTTAATATGTGTGTGTTAGTGTTTATCGTATAATGGATCGATACATTTATAGGTTGTGCACAATATACTAAAGTCAATCAATTTTATGATTAATAAATATAAATTTATAAGTGTATCAATCGATCCATTAAATTTCAAAGAAAAATGTACTTTTTAAAAATTAAATTTTAAAAACACATATTACGTCATAGCATGCATTTATAAGAAAATTGCTTTAAAGTGATATTTGACTAATATTTAACTTATGCTCAAATCGATTCGATATTCGTATATGATTCGTTAAATATTCGTATTGTTAAACAAATACAAATACAAATCGAAATTATTATTCGTTTCATATTTGAATTCGGATTCGTATTCGAAAAAATTAAACACATACAAATACAAAATCTCACTATTTGACTCGATTCGGTTCGTATACAACCCTAGTTATCCTACTACTTATCCCATTTGTACCCTAATTGTGTGATTTACAAAGGGGAATTCATTAAAGTGAGACAATTAATTTAATGTTTGGTCTTTTGTGAACTACACAAATGGTTTGGTGTACAAATGGGTACCCCAAAATGTTGTACACCAAGCATTGCTTAAATTGATGAGGAAGTAATTATAAGGTAGGCAGGTGTATATGCGAAGTACGATATTACCTCTGTCTCATTAACATTACAATATAATGAGGTGTCACATTTATTAAGAAAAAGATTTGATATGTGACAATTTTAATAAATAAATCATCGTAATGCAAAGAGTGTAGTATATACTATATATCAAACTGGAGTATGGAAAGTCCGAGTGGGAATGTTGGAAAAGTTTAACTGGTAAAACGTGAGAAAGCTGGAGTATGACCAAAGATCAATATTCACAGATTGTGTAGCATGCGAACGGAGGAATTCTCCTCCCAATCCAGGTGGCCATCAACCCATCAACTACCCCCAACTCCCTAATTTAATTTTTTATTCGTTGAATTTAATTTATTGTAAAAAAATTATACAAAAAATTAGATTTTCCTCCATAAATAGACATCAATGAAGAATATGTTTAGTCACTTCGAAGTTTACTAGCAGCCTGCTAATGACCGTTCACTAGTAGCCTGCTACTGGCGACTGTTCAACGAGTGAACTTCGGGAATCAATTTCTCATTCACCCATTAGTCGTTTTGAATATACCATATATCGAATCGTAGCCCTTAACAAAGAGAATCTAAAACCACTTTCACCGGCCCAATTAGAAAGTGGGACCCACTCAAAATTCTGCCCCAAATTGAACACTTAATGCAATTTTAACACTTTTTCAACATCTTATTATGTACTTCATCATCTTATTGTCATTAATAATGTGGGTCACATATGAATTAATGGTGTAATAATATTTTTTAAATATGCTTATTTTTTATTTTTCCACAATAAATAACTATAGTGGGTAAATTGTGGATTTTATCATCCTTTTTTCAAATTAAATAAATTAATAATAATGGAATATACTTTTTTTTATAATAATAATAATGGAATATACTCCCTTCGTATTTAAAAGTTTGCTACACTTTCCTATTTGCGAAGTATTTAAAAGTTTACTACACTTTCCTTTTTGGAATGTTTTTCATTTAAAAATACTCAATTATCCTTACTTTTTCTACTTTTTATTTCTCTTTCCCACTTTTTCCATCTTCACTCCTACTTTTTTACCCTATTCATTACCCCGCTATTTACTCTCTATAAATAGGGAGAGTATACAGAAGTATAAATTTGTTTAAGAGCTTTGATAGGGGTCTTCAAATAAAATTTTTAAGTCACAAACAACTCAACATGTGAACGACATATACACATTTTGTGTATCCTTAGGCATTTTTCTTGTTTCAAGTGACCTAGGTACGGTAGTGAAGAGAAAATGATGCGGAAGAGACGGATGGATCACATGCCATCATAGTGTGGATGAACATTTGGCAAAACTTTTAAATTTTGCAATTGTAATGCCAAGTGTATGGGTTGGAGGGAGGGGTGATGTTCACCCTCCATAAAGAGGGTGAACAAAGTAGAACTCCCTATCTCCTCCCCTGCTCTGTCTGGTCAGGCGTGGGGCAAGGATTGATTGGATGTTTTGAAGAATGGGGTATGGAAAGTCCGTGATAGTACTTCTTGTCTAGTTATGAGTTAAATCAAATTTTACTTTCGTTTAATATTGATTTCTTATTTTTTTTACAGTGCTTTTGAGCAATTATGGAGACAAAGCTCTTACGGCAAAGCCAAGGCGGCGAGGGGAATTCTCGTTCATCAGGAAACTGGGTACACTTTGTCAAGATTATATTTCCTTCAGAAGACTCCACCCTGGTAAGCCTCGACCACCAATCTCCAGAAAAATTCCTAATCTACACGAATATGTTGAAGTTTTAAGTTTTGATTTTCAAATCCCGGCCCCCTAAAAGTACATTTCTGGCTCCTTCATGTTCTGGACGATAGCAATAACATATACTCCCTAGATTAAAGCAGCAGTTCAACGAATCAACAAAGTAAGACTGGGAAACCATCAGATTTTTATGTGTATTCTATATTAATCTGGCAATAATGCTCTTTTATCAAAAATCATGATTGGGAAATTCTTAAATAGGGGTAAAAACATAGTGATTTTGTGAAATGTGTGAAGTAGAACTATATATTTTTCTCCTAAATAAGAGTTATAGATTGGGATTAGGACTAGAATGTTACTCCGTGCTTCTCATTTTACCTGTCTTACTTTCCTTGCTGTCAAGATTGTTCCAAAATAAGTTCACATTTGCTTTTTATTAGTTAGAACTGAACAAATAGACTATTCATGAGGATTTGCTTAACTATTACACATAAATGAAAGGCTAGGTCTTACTCCACAATCACTAATGAGTAGTGAAATGGTTCTTAGTTTTAGTTCAAGTAGGACAAGCTTAAGTCATTCTGGTCTTATTCGTTGTCCCGCCCCTCCATTTTCTCCTTAAGGCTGAAGGAGTGAGACAGATGTTCTTCCGAGCAACCATTCCAGCTTATTACAGAGCTCCTCCTGCTAAATGAGTTTGCAGATTATTGTATCTTTGACACACTTTTTCTCGCCCCCGCCCCTCCATTTTCTCCTGCCTTATTGGCTAAATGAAGAACAATGATTGTGTGCGAGTTACTATAGTCTATAAAGTGTGTTAGAAAATCATTTATTGTGCATCATATTGTAATCACCTTTATATCCAAGTATCCAACCACTGTCAACAAAAAAAATGATTAGGAGGGTCTCCCTTTTTGAAAAGAAATATGTGTTCCACCGCATTTCACTTTATTAGACTCAAATCTCAACCATAACCTTTTTTCAACCTCTTTATTAATAATTGTGCCAAACCAAAATAGGACACATAAAATGGGACTGAGGTAGTATCAAAAATTAAGCAATGGACAGAAATTAGTTTTTTTTTTTAATTTCAAAAATGAGACTAAAAAAGACTAAGAAAACCACTAGAGAACTATACACATTACTAAACTTAGCTGACCCGCTACAATGACCATAGTTAGAGTGACCAATGTCAAATCAACTCTGTCTACAGTGACTAATGCCACAGTGGCCACCCGGGCAGTGAGCACCACCGCAGTGCCGCACAGTTACAATTACCAATCCGAGTGACCACCACCAAGCCTGTCCAGTGACCACCTCCCTGCTCTTTGCGGTGACTGCTGCCACTTCCTCGTCCAGTGACTGTCACTGTGACCCCCTACCCCTCCCTAGCCACCTCTTCGCCCAGCCTTCCCAGTCCCAGGCCACCGTCACTGCCCATCCCAATTGCAATGCTGTTACTGCTTTACCCTCACACCCGCCCTCCAGCCACCGGATGCTACGGTCCCACCCCTGCAACCGCTGCATCACACTCTGCAAATCCAGCCGCAGTAGATTCAGACCAGCCGCCTCACCGTTAATCAGAAACCGCCACTGCACACAAACCCTAGCCAATAGAGACCATCGCAGAGGGAATCGAATCGAAGAAGAGGGGATGGAATAGCAGAACAGGGAATGAAATCGCAAAGCTTCGTCAATCGCCTATGGATTAGGCAAAAGGTATTGAACTAACTGATAGTCAAATCGTACCATATTCAAGCTTGACAAGGTCTGAAGTATTAGACGAAAGTTGTTGTTTTTTTTCTTTTATATTTAAGTAATGGAACTAACATGATATATTTAAATTCTACTCGTCCAGATTAGACTAGGTTACACACAATAAGTTTTTCCTGTGTGGACAACGCATTTAAATAAATGATCTTGTATGGGGACAATCTTGAGTTTGAGTTCTTTGCAGAGAATTCCAGAAGAGTTTGTGAGCAAATATGGAAAGAAAATGCCAAAGGTAGGATCTTTTGAGGTTCCAACAGGGGAAGTTTGGGAAATCGAGCTGGTTCATTCCCATGGTCAAGTGTGTCTAGCCAAGGGATGGAAAGAGTTCACTCGGAAATACTCAATAAGAGAGGGTCACTTTCTGGTATTCAGATATGACGGAGAATCCCATTTCCATGTCATCATATTCGACAAGAGTGCTACTGAAATAGAATACCCGCAATTCAAAACTCATGATGATGATGATGACGACGATGCCAGATTCAAAGCCGCCTGCAATTCTGAGTCTGACTCTGATGATGATGAGATCTTCCAGGAAGAAATGGAAACGGAATGCAGCCCAAACAAGAGAAAGAGGAAAAAAGGGTTTGGATCCGAAGTTGGTGACGTCAACGGATTGAATTACAGAGTGAAGCTGGAAGAGTCAGTCCACCATGTACATGAGAGCTCACCTTCTCTGAATCCTAAAAACAAGAGTGAGATTTTCATTCTTACCTCTTTTTTATGATGGATTTATATCTGGGTGGGTATTTCTGCTTGAATCAAAATGAATCAAAATTTGATAACATTTCTTTCAATCTATAATTAATTGAATCAAAATGAATAATAAATACAAGACTGAATAAAAGATGTCATTAGACTTTGATTAATATATTCTAAATGAAGAAAAACAAAAAAAAATGAAATAAATTGTAACTTGACATTGTTTTTATCTGTTAATCATTCTCTCATCATAGTTCAAATCGAACCAAGTCGAAAACCAATTTAAAAACAAAAGCTGACCCCTACTTTTACCCAACTTGGTTCACCAGAATAATAACATATTTGTCAACAACTTTGAATCTTTGACAGCGGCATTGTCATTGTTTGCCAGTTTTTATCCAAAATTATATAATTATATCGAGTTCGAATTAATACAATTGAGTAAATCCCGTTCAATTGAACGGGGGTGTAGCTCATATGGTAGAGCGCTCGCTTCGCATGCGAGAGGCACGGGGTTCGATTCCCCGCACCTCCATCTTTCACTTCTATGGGTCATCCGGAAACAGTCTCTTTGTGCTTTAGTACAGGGGTAAGACTGCGTACATCCGATCTTTCCTTACCTCACCGTAGGTGAGAGCCTTCGCGGCATTGGGGTAAATGAAAATGAAAAATGATGAGTAAATCCCGTTCAATATTTTTACACGATATATTTTACCCACTCAATGTCCAGTTTGAGTAAAAAAACGTCATTAATACGAAATTGCATTTTTTTATGGATAATACAAAATTGCATTAATAACTTTAACTAAATTTCTTTAAATTTAAATTACAATGAATGGTATCAAAGCTCAATCCAACATATTTAAAAACAAGTCAATATCAACTAGGACAGACCAAAACTTTTCCATTCTAAAAATTTTGAGTAATTTATCACATCATTTATCTACTTAAATATAGCTATGTACACATGGTAATATATATGTGGACCACTGAATAGGATTTTTTATTAGTATTAAAAGTTGATAGGCATTTTCCATCAAATCCATTCGAACCAAAGACTCACTATTTTTTGGGCTTGAAAATCTGGAGTAAAGCAAAATGACTTACTAAACTATCTTTGCGTTTTTGTTATGAAGCAACAATTAGTCCATACAATTTTCAATGCAATTTTCATCATGGGTTATCCGGAAATAGTCTCTTTTTACTTTAATACAGGAGTAAGGCCGCTCACATCCGACCCTCTTACCCTATCGTAGATGGGAGCCTTTGCAGCACATGGGTTATGTTGTTGTATTTAAAGATGATAGGCAGTTTCACATCATGTCTTGTAACTAATACCTTTGTCCCTATTAAAAAAATTGTCACCCGAGCAACGAAAAGTTTAATGTTGGTGTTAAGAACAGAAAAATAAAATCAACGGTATGAACCGTTGCCCGATAATCAACGATAAATAAATACCGTTGCCCAAAGCCAAAAGGCTAAACCAACTTTTATTCCCCAGATCCTCAAGAATGAAGCATACAAGGGGTATAAATAACCCTCTAGGTCTAATAAGAATAGGAATCCTAAATAAATTAATCTAGGAAACTAAATAGAATAGGAAACCTCTAGTTCTAATAGAACTCCTAATTAAATCATTCTAGGAAACTAAATAGAAATAGGAAACCTCTAATTCTAATAAGAATAGAAGTCCTAAATAAATCCTACTAGGAAACAAATTAAATTAGGAAACAAAATAAAAGGAATAATAAATATTAATTAAACAGCCCGCAGCCAGCCCACGAAGGTGGGCTCAAGCCCGTCCCGCCTTTAGTAAACCCACGGGGGCTTCTGCCCCTCTTCTTCCAAGCCCAGATTCTACTTCATATCAGTTGGCATCGGGTTTTCCTATATACTACTGCCTCCGTCCCGGTAGACTTTGCCAAGTGCAAAGTAGGTGAGAAATAACAATAGTAAAAACTGTGTGGTTGTGATTTGTGCAGAGGAAAGAGAAATGTGCAGAACTACAAATTAGTTGCTTTAATAGGAAAGTGTCAAAAATTTTGGAAACAACCAAAAAGGGAAATTTGGCAAAGTCCAATGAGACGGAGGGAGAATGTATTTATTCCCGAAAATATGAGTAATATTGTTAATATGTTTCATATGAATCATACTAGTTTTCATTTACAAATCTTGCAGGTGTTAGGAAGAAAAACAATGCCATTGAAAGAGCAAAATCTTTCCGATCAAAGAATCCATTTTACATTTCCGTCATGCACCGATCTCATATTTCCTCCCCATATTCATTGGTAAGTGTTTTTGCCATATGCCCATATGGATGGCTTGCAAGATCTTAATTTGCTAATTTAGTGCCCATTTGGTAACTAAATTGGGGATTGAATTTGTTGGATTTGATGAAAAATCGGAAAACTGTGAATTTGGCCCTCGTAGTTTACCGGAAATGTTGATTAGGTACTTCAATAACAGTATAACACTCAATTGAACCCTCGTACTACTAAAAAGCGCTCAATTGAGCGATTTAGGAGGTTATCGACCGATTTCCCGGTTAGATACACGCGTGGCTGTCCGCCTAGTGGCCCGCATGGCATTTCTTTTCCTTTTTCCCTTTCTTTCTCTTTCGCTTTTCTTCCTTTTCTTTTCTTTTCTTTTCTTTTCTTTCCGTCTTCCGCTTCGCGTACATCTCGTTTTGCATACAAGGCCGCCATCACATGTGAAGCCATTGAAGGAATTCAGGGTGTTGCGATATCAGAGAGCACCGAAGTGTACGTTCCGGCAGCCATCTTGGCATCTTAGCCATTTTAGCACCAAGCAAACCTACGCCGACGCAGCGGAAGAGTCTTCTGGAAGTATCGGGCCTCCATAAAAGGGGAGCCTTGCCGTCGGAGCTGCAAGGATTTTACTTTAGGGCAGCGAGCACAAGTAGAATGTAACAGACGGTGGGAGGACAGCGGCGATATACAGTCCCCGATGCTTGATTTGGTATTTCAACCTTTTTTTAATAAAATCGGAAAGTGTTCCTTGGTGCTTTCTCCACTTTTAGTGGCATTTCCGGAAAAAAAATACAGTCCCCGACGATTGCAACTGCAGTCCCTGAAGATGGCAGCATAGTACCCAGCTATGGCGACCACAGTCCTTGCGATGGCAGTTCTGGTCCCCAGCGATGGCATGAATTTCCTGAATTCCTCCCCTTTTGTGAAACGGATCTACACGAACGAGAACCGGATTTGGCTGGTTGCCAACTAGAAAAGCTAAAGAAAGAAAGAAAGAAAGAAAAGTTGCAACTTGAGAATGAAGGAAAGAAAACAGAAAATAGAAGTTGCAGGAGGCCGGCGTACCTGGGATCTGGGAACGAAGAGAAGAGAAGAGAAGAAAGAAAGAAGAAAAGAAAGAAGAAAAGAAAGAAAAAAGAAATTGAAAGAAAAAAGAAAAATGTGCCACCTGGTCCGTCACGTGGACTACCATGCGTGTATCTGACTAGGAAATCGGTGAATGGTCATTTCTTCGCTCAATTGAGTGTTTTTAGGAGTACAGGGGTTGAATTGAGTGTTTTTAGGAGTACATGGGGTCATTTAAGTGTTTTTTAAGTATGAAGACTTAATCGACATTTTCGGTATAATACAGGGGGCAAATTAACGGTTTTCTCTAGAAAAGTTATTCGTAGTATTTAAAATATATTTCACTAATAACTTAAGAGAAACTTATATGAAAATAGCTCCTAAAATGATCCTCCACGTTAACTTCAGCCAATTCGGCCAAAAAAGTAATTAAATAAAGTTGACTGATAAAGTTAATAAGTTAAAAATAAGGAGTTACTAAATAGACTGTTATACTAACGCTTTGTTGTTTTTCAGAGCATTTCCTTGCCATTTGCTAAGAACGTCTTTACTTCAGTGCATAATGATTTATTGCTAATTTCGAGTGGGAGATCATGGTCTGCCAAATGCATCATAGGTAGATCAGCTTGTGTCAAGATCACTGGATGGAAGGACTTCGTGTTAGACAACAAGCTGAAAATTGGTGATGTTTGCATCTTAGAGGGTTTGAAAGGCGGAAGCCCAACGAGCTTCAATGTCATAATATTTCGAGCAGATTGATGATGCACAGCCGGGTAATTTAAAAAGGGGGAAATCACACTTTAGTCCCTCAAATAGTCATCCTATTGAAATGTCTGATTTGTGTATCCAAGTTTGTAAATGTCACTCCCAATTGTCCAAATTACCGTAAATGTGATTCATTGAGGGGTTAAATTTACAATGTGGGTGAGGAGTATATTTCACCCCTCAAAAGAGCACATTTACAACGGTTTGGACAATTGAGAAGCGACATAAATAATCTCGGAAATACGAGTTTGACATTTCAGTATGGTGACTATTTCAGGGACTAAAAGTGCGATTGTCTCTTTAAAAAATATTGGCGGACTCGTCAACAAGCCTTCTCTTTTCTAGCTGTAGGCGGAAAGAATTTTTTCGGAGTACATCTTTTTGGAGTTTTATTCCACTTTTAGTCTTTGGGGTTTTATGTCAATTTCACATTTAGTTCACGTCTTTTACTTTGTCCACATTTGATATTTGACTAATATTTTTTCACCATTTTGATCCTTTCGTTCAATTTTCCCACACTTATCTAGCGATTTTAACCAGTAGTAATATCAACGGAAGGATCATATATGAGCAAAAAACAATAGTCATGTGCTAAATGTGTTTTAAGTGAAAAACATGAACTAATTGTAGAATTAGTGTATACTCGTATGATCAAAAGTGAAATTTTATTCTTTTCTTGGCCATACATAAGTACACCATGAATAAAGATATGAGAATTTGATATTTGACTACTATTTTTTCACCATTTTGATCCTTTTGTTCAATTTTCCCACACTTATCTAGCGATTTTAACCATTAGTAATATCAAAAAGTGTTTTAAGTAAAAAACATGAACTAATTGTAGAATTAGTGTAATACTCGTATGGTCAAAAGTGAAATTTTATTCTTTTCTTGGCCATACCTAAGTACACCATGAATAAAGAGATGAGATCTTATTTGTTTGAATAACTTTCCATTCATTATGCTATGAACAGATAGTATATTCCATAAAAAAAAACTTTCCATTCATTATGCTAATAAAAAGGAACGTAGATGAAGTTATTATTATACAAGTATAAACTTCAAAACTGATTTGGATACTTATCATCTTGGAGTGATAAGATTAAGGTATGCTACTCTACAATATATAATGTTTTTTTTTATTAAATGTGTGAAAAAAGAGATAATGTTTGTTAGGGCTAAGAAATGTATTTCATTTCAACTACAATTCTTCAAACGTGATTCTTAGATAATTATACCATGTGTTATATTCATAACAAGCACATCTTCTGATATCAAATTGTCATTCACCTTTTAGCGCAGACAATTCTCTCTTATGATTAGTTATGTGATGACTATAAATAAGAGTCAAAGTCAATCATTGGAAAATTTTGGGATATTCTTACGGCGACCGGTTTTCACCCATGAGCAGCTTTACGTTGTTGTATCTAGAGTCACGAGTCCAGCTGGTTTGAAGTTTTTGATATGTGACAATTATGGTAGACCGACAAACTCCACATTAAATGTTGCATACAAAGAGGTCGTTACCAATTTGTAATATTACATTTTGTCTTGAATATTATTGAGAACATTTTAATTCACATCAAAAGACAATATTATGCGCTCATTTAGAAAAATAAATGAATTATAATATTGAATTATATATAGAACTGCTTATGAACACTTTTTAAGAAAAGTCCTTCATATTAAAAAATTGTTGTCAAAATAACTAACTTTTCATCATGTGCAACGCACGGGTTAGATAACTAGTTAGTGTAATACTCGTATGATCAAAAGTGAAATTTTATTCTTTTCTTGGCCATACCTAAGTACACCAAGAATAAAGAGATGAGAATTTGATATTTGACTAATATTTTTTCACCATTTTGATCCTTTCGTTCAATTTTCCCACACTTATCTAGCGATTTTAACCAGTAGTAATATCAATGGAAGGATCATATATGAGCAAAAAACAATATTCATGTGCTAATAGTGTTTTAAGTAAGAAACATGAACTAATTGTAGAATTAGTGTAATACTCGTATGATCAAAAGTGAAATTTTATTCTTTTCTTGGCCATACCTAAGTACACCATGAATAAAGAGATGAGATCTTATATATATATATACACACACACACACAAATGTTCAGGTCAGGAGTTCCTGACCGGAACCGCCGTCCGGACCGCGGCGTTTGGCCGCCTTCCCTGTGGCTTTTTCTGATGAAATTTTTATGACATGTTCTCCATCAAGTCTAGTTTATCCACAAAAAAATTCAGCCAAAAACTCAATCGGGAAGGTCATCAAATAATTTTTGCAAGTTAACTGGTCCGGAATATGTATATATATATGGGGGGGAAGATCCCATGCAAATCATGTTTCTGGTGCAAACTACAAACCAAGTGCATCCGTTCGATTGAAAAACACAGATGGTCATCCATATGACACACAAGGTAATATTCATGGGTTGAGATGTAGAAAATAAAATCCCAGGACCCACCACTACCGTATAAGAATTAGTTTAAAGGCTAATAATGTCATCTCAAAACCTCTTTCCCTGAAATTGCCGCGGGCTTTCCACTAATCAATTAATTACTAATCTAAATATAAGCAATTCATAAAAGGTAAGTGGCAGACAAGGTAAATCATTGATTGATCGTAGCCATAAATTTCAAAATAACTTATTTTTTGTAATTAATAATTAATGGTATCATTTTCAAAATTAATCGATTGATTCTATGAATCAATCGCTCTTTAATAAATTTCAATTTTCGAAACCTAACTCCCATTTTCACTAGAACCGCATATTTAGAATCTTAGATTGTGGGATGCGCATTGTATAATTATAATGTCTGCATATGATAATATTTTTGAAATAAATTCCTTTATGAAATTAATCACTTCATAATTATTATGCATGCATATTAGTTGTGCATATGCTGCACTTTTAATCACATAATATGATCTTATCTATATTGGTTGTCATATTGTTCCCATTAATTTATTACGTTGCACTTGGGAAGTAGTTCATATATTACTTTATCATTTTGGCATGTGCACCTTAGAAGTTTTTATATTGCACTTCAATAAATAAGCTGATATCTGCATTTTAAAAGTTCATACTACATCTTATTTTTATGACACCTACATTTTAGTAGCTCATATGTTGCATTTTATCCTTATGATATGTGCATAATAGAAGTTTATATATTGCATTTTAATAAGGTGACATATGCATTGTACAAGATCATTTGATGCATCTTACAGTTATGACATTTGCATGGTAGATTGAAGTGATATGCATATGAAATTCATGGTGTCGCAAGCTGCATAATATATACGACAAACGTCTTCTAAATGGAAAACGTTTTGCATACTAAATTACAAGAATTTTGCATGAACATGAAATTGATCATTTGCTGCATTGTAGAAGAACATTTGTTGCATCTTATCGTTATGACATTTGCATCGTAGAAGAACATTTGATGCATCTCATCTTTATGACATTAGCATTGTATACTCAATTGACATCATACAAATTTCATGGTGTCACATGATGCATAATACAATATATGAGAAATATGTTTTAAAAGGTAAAAAATATAACATGTTTGCATAATAAAGCTACAAAATTGTTGAATTGGTTGAAAACAAATATGAAAAAAACGTTTAAAAAATCCAGCGTGCACCATAGATTATATGAATATGTTGTCATTCGAACAGAAGAACACCAATGAAAATATATTAAATTGGAGATGAAGATGCAAGATGGTGATGGTGATGGAGATGGAGATGATGATGGAGATGGAGATGGAGATGGAGATGGAGATGAAGATGGAGACATAAACGAAAAGGTAGATGAAAATGAGATGGTGAAGCTTTGGTCATGGAGAGATTGCTGGTTGAACGTGTAGCGAAGGAAATCACAGAGATGGAAGGGAATGGGAATCACAGAGATGGAAGAGATTAATGAGGGTAGGAGGTTATGGATTGAACGTGATTTTATCCATTATTAGATTTTGGTTAAATGACTAAGACACCCTTACTTGTAATTAGTCCTGATTTGAGCAACTACATTGAACGGATGGTTATTTGCACTAGATGAATGGCTAGGATTAGGTTTGTAGGTTAGCATATTAAGATGAGTTTGCATTTGATCTCTTATTTATATATATATATAGAGGAAAGTTCATGTCAGGACCTCCAAAAACGGACCTCCGTACGGACCTCGGCGTTTGGGCCCCTTCCCGGTGGAAATTTTTGATGAAATTTTTGGAGCATGTTCTTCATCAAGTCTAGTTTACTCATGCCAAATTTCAGCTAAAAATTCCATCGGGAAGGCAGTCAAATAATTTTTGGATGTTAACTGCATTTTATATGTATATAAAGTGCGCAGTTAACTTCAAAAAATCATTTGACTGTCTTCCCGATGGAATTTTTAGCTGCAATTTGGCATGGGTAAACTAGACTTGATGAAGAACATTCTCAAAAACATTCATTAATAAATTCCACCGGGTAGGGGCCCAAACGCCGAGGTCCGTACGGAGGTCCGTTTTTGGAGATCCTGACAGGAACACTACTATATATATGTGTATGTATATATAGGAAAAACTTCCGGTAAGGTATACCTTACCGGAGCCGCCGTGCGGCCTCCACGTTTTGAGGGCCTTCTCGGTGAAATTTTTCGATGAAATGTTTTGAGCATGTTCTTCATCAAGTCTAGTACATCTATACCAAATTTCAGCAAAAAATTCAATCGGGAAGACAGTCAAACGATTTTTGGAAGATAACTGCGTTTTATATGTATATAAAGGGTGCAGTTATCTTCCAAAAATCATTTGACTTCCTTCCTGATTGAATTTTTTGCTGAAATTTGGTATGGATGAACTAGACTTGATGAAGAACATGCTCAAAAAATTTCATCGAAAAATTTCACCGGGAAGGCCCTTAAAACGTGGAGGCCGCATGGAGGCTCCGGTAAGGTATACCTTACCGGAAGAGTTCCCTATATATATATATATATATATATATATTGGTTCAAATAAGAAAACAATCTTAGGAGAGAAATGAGAAAGAATTCTAGCCATTAGATTGTATCATTTCCCTTGATTATCATGTGTGGTCTCCTTGCCCATATTGGTCATTAAACATTTCCTTTCCATACTTGCATTGATAACCTTCCATCTTCATTTTTTACGTCATTTTCATTTCCCACATTGAAATGCATCATTCATTTGCTTTCCTTTTCAATAACATTCCAAATGAGCTAGCATGTTTTAAATATTCCTACGGGCATAGTTTTCATTTGAGTAGAGTTCATGCTTTTCTTTTAATTTGATATATTTTAGTTTATGTCATTTTTAATACTTCGTTTTCCTTCCATTAACTATGTAGAAATATTATTTATTTATTTTTCACTAATAGTAATTTGAATAGTAAACACCATTTATTATCAAAATGAATCTAAATAAAAATAGGAAAAATTGATAGTAATAATCCCAACTATGGTCGGTCCGCTTATAATAATCCCAACTATCGATTATTTCAGAATAATCCCAACTTTAGGGACCTTCCACCAATAATAGTCCCTTTAAATAAATTCTTGTAGTTTCTAAAGTGGATGAGGAGAGATATAACAAGTAATCCCTATAAGTAATCCCAACTTTTAATTTTTAAACTTGATTTCTATTTAAAATTCACTTTTTGAGGGTGTAATATTTGGTCATGGACCATTATTGGCGGACTGTCC